GGTATACCTTATATAGTTTACATATGTGTGCATTTGTGGGTATATACATATGTAGACTAAAAATAGAAATGCCTATTCCTGTTTACAGCCTTTGGATGTGAGTCCTTTTCTCTGAATTCACATCATCTTTCCCGAACAGTCACAGCCGAACACACCATCTACAATGTTCAGTTCCCATTTCTTTAAGGTGCGATACGAATTGTGAAACAATCTCAGTGTAGAATTATAAATTTTTCCCAATATTTGGCTGGTGTGTCACCCACGTATATACAGCAGTAATTTTTAAGCAGTGTTTCCAAAGCATTTTGGTTAGTCTTCATGAAACCACTAAACCTCTTTCTTTTGTATTCATGCTTTATTAGTCTGGATAACATTAAATTAAATCATCTAATTCAAAAAACAGGTACAAAAGACAAAAACTGGTTTGGGAACAAATACAACTGACTTGGTAAGAGAATTTCTGCATTATTCTTGAGTAGCTTCCCATTAACTTACGAGAACACCCCCAAACAGTTTCTAACTGGAGTTTAGGAATTAGACAGGTCCGAGTGAAATCCAGACTGTAATTTTCTTCTTAGCTGTGTCAGTGGTTTACTGAGTATGTTTATTCTTTCTGAGCCCTGGTTTCTTGGAAGGCAGCACGGTAATCATAACTTCCAAATTTCAGTGTTCAACGAACTGCGCAGATGAGCTCACGTAAGAGTACCTAGTACCCGGTACCTGTCTGAAAATACTCATTTCCTTACTTCTTGGTGACACAGAGATGGAGATTTCTGTCATCGTTGCTCCCCCCAACTATTTCTGTCAATATAATGCATAGTTATCAAAAGTTCTGAATAATTTAAATAGCCGAATGAAACTGATTTAATCCAGGAAATAAAAGTGCTTAGGGTATGGTTAGTGGATTATCCTACTCAGTTGAAAGTTCTGAAGAATGAAAATCAGTTGGTCTCTGATCTAGAATACAGGTGAGTATTTCAAAAGCAAGTAAAGGACTAACACTTGATGGGTTCACCACCGGTTTGCTCCATTTGTCTCCTTCACACCCTTTCTGTAGTGATAATAGCAGCTGGTAATGGGAACCAGAAAGAGGAAGGCAGAATCTGGCTGACCCATGCACCAAGAAAGAGCTGGTTGGATTCCTGGCGGCCAATGGATGTTCTCTCTCATCAATGTTTCTATCTCTCTCTCCCTCTCACTTCCTCTCTCTAAAATCAATAAAGGAAAAAAAAATTATTTTAAATAATAAAAAAAAGGAGGGCAAAGAGGAAGGGTTTTCAATGCCACCGGCTTATTTCATAGCCTTCTCTTCTCATACCCCATTCTTCTGCCCCCATGAAAGTGTTATTCTCTTGGGGTGATAGAATTATGCCCCTTCAACCCTGGCCAAAGCTTGGATATTCATATACAACCCAGTGTGAGTTCCACTCGGGTCCTCTAAAAACCCTCTCTGTTGGGCTTCCGTTTGAACACTGGGTCTGGTGATGATGGAGGAGGGTAATATGGGCTATTTTCCCTCACAGCGATGTTATAAGGATAAATGAAATGATATTCATCCAGCACTTCAGGATGTTCTTATAAAATGCACCTTTGTAAATATGAAGTATTCTAAAAGGCTGGTGCCTGCAACTTCTATTTAAAATAAAAATTGCTGACAACAATTTCAACCCTAGAAAGTAAACACATCAGCTTGAAATTGAAGTGCACTTTGCCAGGGAGCAGCAGGCTGATCGCATAGCTGGGCCTTTACTGCACATAAGGTGAAATGTTAGCATGGATCACTGTGCGGTTTGTCCTGCTCTGCTATGTGGCATCTCAAGTCCATGGCCTGGTTCTGTGTTCTTTGTGGTTCAGGAGCATCTGAAAGTGTGGCCCAGTCTTCGAGACTCTGAGGGCATTGCAGCCTCTCTCGGGAAAGCTTGGCTCAGAGAGAGGCATCTTGAGACATATTGATCTGCAGGATCCCAGCCTGCTCTTCTGGTTAGCTATAGTCCCCTGGGCCACATTAAAGCCATCTCATTGAGATTACTCTAAGACCAGATCTAGGTGACTCCGGAAAACCCTTAACCTGATGACAGGAGAGGCTCTCGTCCCTCAGATGGCCATGATCTGGGAATGGGGCCTTGTTTCTGGAACATGTTTGGAGCTATGTGTATGCAAACACTATATATTACCCACTTCCAGTATACTAGGGGGTGTTCTAACATTGGCACTGGGCACTGATGTGTTTTATACTCTATCAAGCAAAAGATGGCCGAGGCCTGCCAGAGACCACGCACTAAGTGTACACTTGGCAGTTGTGAAGCCTTTGTGTATTGATAGAGGGCCAAGCCAGCAAGTGTGGGAGGGAGAACTAGGAAGAAAATGAGCCTCGGGAGTGCAGCCTTGGTAGATAGCTCAGGCAACCATGCAAGTGAAACCTAACTGTGGAGTCACATGGAATAAAGCTTTACGGAATCAGCGCCGGACACATAGAAATTTCAGTATGAGGCAGAGGTCAGTAATGTCAACCACTGAAACAAAACAGCCTGTTAAAACAGCCACATCCATGGCAGCTGCAGTCATTTGACCCCCCGTAACCCCATTCTTTGCCCTTGACTGTGGAGGTCTCCTTAGGCCCTGTTTGTCTTCCTGATCTCACTGTGTAATGGGGTAGCTATTTAAAAGTTCACCGAAGAAAAATACAACCTAAATGTAACTAGCAAATTCACTACTGGTTGATGATGTACCTACAAATACGCTGAATAAATCTCAGAAATAAGTTGTGTGTTTGTGTTAAAATTTTGAACTTCAGATTTGGAGATTTTGATATTCTTTTTGGATCTGTTCTCAAGTAACATCAGAGAAGGTGTTAATATTTTGGTGCTTCTATGTCTATGTTTTTAAAATGAGGGAAATTGTATGGTGTTTGCCTGTGCATTACATGGCATTACATGTTTTACCATCATTGTATGTTTTTTTTTCGTTGTAAAGTCTGAGACTTTCACCCTATTCTATTCCTAACTCTATTCCACAAATTTATTATTTTTTCCATTTATTTTCAGATAGAGTGGGAGGGAGGGGTACAAAGAGAGAGAGAGAAACACCGATTGGTTGCTTCCCACACCACCCTGACCAGAGTGGGGATGAACTGCAACCAAGGTATGTGCCCTTGACTGGAATTGAACCCCAAACTCTTTGGTACATAGGCTGACGCACTAACCGCTGAGCTAAACCAGCCAGGACTATTCCACAAGTTTAATGTTTAGGACCACTGTTGATTTTTCTTCTCATCGAGAACAGGAAGAAGTGCCCAGTCAGTGTGGCTCAGTGTATTGAGCATGGTCCCATGGACTAAGAAGTCCTGGTTTGATTCCTAGTCAGGGCACATGCCCGGGTTTTGGGCTCAATCCCCAATTGGGGGTGTGTAGGAGGCAGCTGATAGATGTTTCTATCTCTCTCTCCCTTCTTCTCTCTCTCCCTTCTTCTCTCTCTCTAAAAAATCAATAAAAACATATTAAAAAACAACAACAAAACAAAACAGGAAGAAAGACCAGGGGAAAAGAATGAATATTTATTAACCATTAACTCTACTGCCAGGTGTTTTATCTATATTTGACCCTCATGACAACCTTATGAAGTAGGTGTTATTAACCATGGCCTGTTTCACTAGGGAGGGGAAGTGTTATTTGCCACTCAATAAGATAGCATAAGATCTTTATGCAATTCTTAAACTATTAATAAATTCATGCCTTTCCTGTGATTTTTGAGAATTCAAGTTCGCCAGATGTGAACCCTGTTCCTCATCCCTTCTGTTCTATCGGTGAAAAAACGGACCTGTAACTGTGGTTAGGTATCGTACTCAAATGGTGAGTGTGAAGCTGGAGACCTTCAGGTTTTCACTTTCTTGCATTCTTAAGTGTTTTAAAGTATAAGGCATTTCAAATGGATTTTAGACGTGTCCTCATCTGTAATCACCACTTAGCCGTCACAATAAATCTTTAGGTAGATGACTAAAATGATCACAGGAAAGTCATAAAGCATGGGTTGGAACCACTGAAAACATGTTTATTCTGTCCCTCTTCATTGTTCTTGGAGTGTTTAGTTTTAGGAAGTTCAACAAGTGGGAATAGTGCTATGACATCTGATAGACCCCAGCTGTTTGCAGCGTGCTTCCAAATGAGGAGGATGTCATTTCAAGAAAAAGAGACAACAGATTGTTTGCAAAGTACTTTTGTTTTGCTTTTCCCTGTGTTCGTCTTGAAAGCAATCCAAAACAGATTTATCTTTTGTGGTTAGTTATTTCTTAAAGTCTCCGGGTTTATACTTGACTGTCTTGGGTTAGGTAGTCGATAAGTGCACATTTCTTATAATCTATACCTCAAGTACAGGGACCCAAGTTATGAAGAGATCAAAATATTTGTCAGATAGTCCCAGCTCTTCATGAAGTTAACTTAGTGAACAAATGACACATAACCAGAGGAAATGATGATCTTTTTTTAATTTTTAAAATCTAGCCTTCCTACAAGCCCATCAGAGCAAAGAACTCAAAATTGCTTTTTAAAAAGACATTTTCGCTTAAAACCCAGCAGATGACAACCTCAGTCTTAGAGCCCTCTGGGGATTTGTCTATCAAACACTGATGTATCACAGAAACATTTATTTTGTAAGTAATGTTAATGATGTTCTCAGAGCTCTGTGTTTATTGTTTAACACTGCTATCATTTATTGATGACTAATGGCCAATAAACAGAGCCCCTTGCCTTGACTCTGGCTTCTAGTCAGTATTTATGGATTAGGCCCATTAGCCTCTTTCTGAAAGCCATTGGGACAATGCAGCTGGTACCCAGCAGAAAAAGATACGAGAAAAACATTATCTGCCACTCAAGTAAAGACAAAGAAGTAAACTTGTAAGGAGAGTATGCTATTGCTACCACGCAGAGGCACTTAAATAGAAGTACTATTATGGCCTAATTAATATTCCTAAATATCCAACAGCAAGGCTCACCTTTCCAATCCAGTGTCCATCTCCAGCAGGCTCATGCTCCCTGACGCGGTTCCGTAAGAGACTACGGAATGAAGCGGCTGAGCTCACTTCCAAGAAAACAAATGCTAAGGCCTTAGGAATGGAGAAATACTGAAATGATAAGGAGATTTAGTTACCGAAAGTACACGGTAAAAGGAAGATGACGCACAATTCAGAGAAAAAAAAACACCAAAAAGATTCGATATTTAAAACACTGTATTAAAAAAAAATTAATTTGTTTGCTACATGAGGAAAGAGGGAAAATATTGGTGGAGTTTTCCCCTTTTCTAATCTTAATCTGAAGCTATGTCTGGGTTATCAAAGTGCTGTTTCAGTATATTCATTTTGCAGCTAGCCCAGGTGCACTTAAGAATTGACTTAATCTTTCAAGTGAACTCCTGAAGGCTCATCTTCCAATTGTTCAAGACAACTCTAAATATCTAAAGACTTTACACTTTCTTTCCCCAAACAGAGTTCGGTATCTAATAATATTCACCACGAAAAGCACTTCTCTGGGAGGGCGGGTGCCAGGGCAGTGTGCGTGGAGGAAGAGCGCTGTGATCGGGACCCACGGCGCTGCCCCTGCTCCGACGCCACGCAGCGTGGGGTTGTTAGGAGGCGCACACCGGTCTGGTTGTAATAATGGGCATATTGGACTAGAATTATCTTAAAGTTCACCTTCAGTTTCCAGTTTCTGAAATTCCAAACAGAAAAATCCAAATATAATTGATTCTCTAACAATTATTTTTGGTTAAGCGCTCGAGGTGGAAATGTGACCAACTTTCAAGTGAAACCAGGAAAGTCTGACTGTTCACCTTACCTGAATCACTCCTGCCTGCCTGGCACATCTCCTCCCACGATTTCCTCTCCACTGTTTTAAGATGGTCCTCGTTCTCTTTAACTTTTCTTATTTCACTAAGCCATACCTCGGCCTGCTCAATCTTTTTTTCTGTGTGTGCGTCTTTGATCTTTTGTTGGGTTTATTTCCTCCACATTTCCCCTACATTCCAGAAAGAAACAAAAATTGTGTCAAGGACATCACTTTCTAGATGCAGGTACTAAGTTCCATTGATATATTTTCCTGGCTTCAGGCCTCGATATTGCATTTTCAGGAAAGTGCTGCTTGTTTGGGGTTGATGCGGGCAAATCTGCCAGTGGGATTTAATAATGCATTCCCACTCTGCCCTAGCAAAGCAGGAAGCTGCACCCAGGAGATAAGTCCAGGGAGTTATTTTAGGGTAAAGAAAAAAAAACTTAAAGTCAGAAAAGAAGCTTAAGAACATTAACTTTTTCTTATCTAAGGTAGTATTGAATACATTAAAAGGGAGTAGCACATTTTTCTTTCTTTCTTTTTTTTTTTTTTTTTGCAGAGGCAAACTTCTGTAACAAGCCAGAAAATAAATATTTTTGGCTTTGCTAGGTGATTCGATCATAGTTGCAACTACTCAGACCTATGATTATAGTAAAAACAGCCATTGACAATACTAAACAAAAGGGCATAGTTGTGGCTAGGTTTCAATAAAACTTTATTTACAAAAACAGAATGTGTTTTTATTTACAAAAACAAGGGCTTTAGTTTGCCTGCCTCTAGGACAAGTACTAGGATAGTAATTTGGAGATGTGAATTTAAGAGCTCTGCTTTGATAAACTGTATAGATTAGGAAGTGCCATTGGTCCAGTAACTCAATTTTTTCTTTCTTTCTAGGGGAACACAATTGCAACAGTCCTTGAAGAAGAAGAAGAAAGTGATGCTCCCTTTTGAGAATGGTGCTAGTACTTGTTTTCTTCCTCATTGTTCAAGTGTTTCAGTTCTAGGACCCAGGGACACCCAGAATTCATGAGACAACCTCATGATTAATGGTAGGAGATGCAGGGCATTCAAAATAAAAATTGATAGATGCCCAGATGGTATGGCTCTAATGTTTCTTCAGGTCTAGTTTCTGGCCACAAGGCTAAACTTGCTTTCTTCAAATATGCACAAACTGAATTTATCAAGAAAGGTAGGCCACTCAGAACAGCAAACTCCAATCTTTGTTTTCTCCTTTGTCATTAACCTTATCACTGAACCTGCCAAGGTGAGAAGTACATGAGGCACAGTAGCCATGACCACCAGGCAGTGATGGAGCCTTTGAGGTGCAACAAAGCCCATGAGTTCTGAAGATGTGTGAAGGTCATTGTGATGGATGTTTTCCAAGAACTTGTCAAGGGTAGCTGTGAAAAGAACCCCTACGACGACAGCTGCATATCACTAGCATACAAATGTTTAGATGAATGTTCAGGTCCTTAGCTGGGTTGAGAAATTCTTCCTGGTCTCAATTGTTGCATGCAATGTTTTGGAAGGAAAAATAAAGCATTGTTCAAGACACAGTAGAAGAAAATGATGAAAAGTGATATTTTATTTGATATTGATAACCTCACAATAAATCATGTAGAAAAATTAAAACAAAATAATTAACCTATTACCAATAATCTTATTTTTACTATGTGTAAGTTCAGAAAATTGTACGAAATGAAGCAATCATTTGGACATTAGTCAGGTGTAGCAATTCACTTTTTTTTTTATCACTCTTCAGGTCAAGAGATTGCTTACTTTCTAGTTTTCAAAAATGCATAGCATATAAAGATTGGGTTTGGCTACAAGTATTAGAAAACTCAAAGTAATAATTACAAACAAGATAGAAGTTTGCTTCTCTGTTATATACACACAATCTAGAGGTAGGTAAGCTAGAGCTGCTAAGGCCGCTCTGGGATGTTCTGACTGTCCTGGTGGAAGATGGGGCTGTGATGTAAGCCTTTTATCTGTATACCAGCCAACAAGAAGAAGACAGGTGTAAAGAGGTGACTGTCCCCTTCCTTTAAGGATTTTCCTAGAAATCAGGCACTTCCCATTAGTATCCATTCCTGGGATGTCACATGCTCACTTACTAGCTGCAAAGGAAGCTGTAATCTTTACTTGGCAGCTATATGCCCAGCTAGAATCTTGAGTTCTACCACTAAGAAAAATGGAGAAAATGGCCCGTGGGAGGTTGTCAGCAATACCTACCACCCATTCTAATTACTCAGCCCTTCAATCAATCAGTCAATCAATCAATCAATTCATTCTATTCTTTGAACCTAGTGTAATGTATACAGGTCCCCAAATCACAGAGGCATATAGCTCCCCCAATATCTGTTAGATCTTTGTTCTTTCTTAACTTGGACTTAGAAGTCCAGCGAATGCACCAACTTAGAGGACAATCAGAGATCTAGCTATAGGTACGTTCCCAGGAGGAGATAAAAATACCTTCTGCAGACTTTAATGTGCTTGACACTTCTCTCAGGAACGTGAAGTAGGCAGCCACTCTATAAATGATCTTTGACCTGCCCTACAGGAATGCGGACAGCTATCTTTTCCCTGAAAACCCACATTTAAAGAAATTACACAAATAAGTATTATATAGTAATTTTTTTCTGATGTTAGGTAAAGTAATATATTTTATTTTAAACAAAAATCCCTATATTATTCATGCTATTTTGCACACACATACATGCTTTTGAATTTTCTCTTTTTATCTCAGTCATTCTTCATTAATGGTGCCAAGTTATGTCTTTGTTTTTAGCTTAGCTAGTTTTTCCGAGTGCTTCTGTGATATTGTTATCACAGAGTTGGCCTTATTTCTTTTACTCTTTCCACCCTTCATCATTTATTAATGCCACAGATTGTGTGATGAAGAGTTGTCAACATTATCATTTTTCTATATTTACAGGTATAATAACTGCACTGAAGTGGATTTGTCATCTAATAGCCTTAAATGATCCCTCTCTCTCGGGCTGCATTTCCCTCCATTATTTACTGTGCCTCCCAATAGCTTATCATCCACTGCTGTCTACTCTCTTCTTTGTTCTTAATTTTCTGAGACAGATTTCCACTCAAGAGACTGAGAAACTATTAGACGGAGAGTTTCCACAAACCACAGGAGCATAAGGTCTTCTGCAAAGAGACACGCTTACCCACTGCGGGTTAAAGGAGGAAAGTAGTATTACTTCTTCCCTGCTGACAAACCCACTTGCTATCAATGTGAAGGGGGAATAATCGCATTTGCATTGAGGAAATCTACATGCATAACTCTCATTAACGTGAATACAGTAGAAGCTAAGTGCCTAAATTCCTGTGCAGAGAAAAGAGAAGTGGTTATATTTCCTAATCTAATGTAAGACGTAGCCTCCTATATTTGAGTTGTAACTTTCATAACGGCTTAATATTAGTGTATGAGTTGTTCTAAGGAAAACCAGTCTCAAAGCAGAAAGTAGTACTCTATCTCTGTAAAGCATTTTAGCAACGTGGGGAGAAACAGACTACCAGATATTTATTTGGGAAATTAGCTAGCTAGCTACAATATGTTTACAAATTATGTGTTTATTGGTAGGATACTGTTGTAATTGGCAAGGCCACTATATATCTTTAGCTTTGCTCTATTTAGAATACAGGAAAGTAAGTTAGTATTTCCTTTCTTGGTAACATTTTAGAGCTAACAATATTCACTAGTAAAAAAAAGCTTTCTCTGATCAAAACTGTTGTTCTTAAATATGTTTGTTCAAAGATTACATAACATGTTAATGATTATGTCCTTAGGTGTCTTTTCATTTAATTTGTAATTGTTTCAAGTGATTAAAAAGAATATGAATGACTTGTTTAACTTCTGAAAAGAAGAATATAAATATCTCTATGCCCTATATACTTTTCACAAATTATTCACCAGTGATAAATAAATTACCTGGGTCAATTACTGAACCAAACACTACCATCTAAATTGTTTCTTTGTATCACCATGCAGCTCTTTATTTAATTTATCTGAATGGAATGCTGAACTCCATTTAAGCCCATGCTAAGACTTAAGAAATTCTTGATGGATGGTGTGGGAGTGGATTGAAATAGAAGCATCACAAGGACATAAAAGTGTTGGTAAATTTTGGGTAAATTATAAGCAGCCAACTTGAAACAGATGGAGACAACTACTTGCTTGATTTTGAAACCAAGAATTAGTAGAGACCTAATTTTAAACTTTTAACTTGTTTTTCATCTGTCACTCACTTCATGTTATCAGATATTTATTAGGTTCAGAGACTCATGTGCCTGGTATGTACTTCGTTACTTGAACCCATCATCATGGGAGATATTTATGCTGTGTCAACACTAAACACTCAGGATATGTGCTACCAAATCAGTGCATTGATAGCATGATATAAAACAAAAACAAACAAACTGATCCAAGAATATTTTAACTTCTGACACTGAACAACTACACAAATATTACCAACAATAATTTCCATCACCACCATTGTTTTTAAGCATGTCAGGCTAAATACTTTACATAGTCATTTTTTTGGACACATCATCATGAGGCACTTTTTGACCAAATCACAGAGAGGTTACATTACTTGACAAAAGTAAATGGCTAGTAAATGACTAAATCAATAAATGATTCTAAAGTCATCCTTTCTTAACTGTATATGATAATTCTGGGTGTACCAATTTGGTTCTGATTAGGTCGTAAGGAGAAACCTGAATGTGATAAACACATTAGGTTTATTTATTATGTGAGATCTTTTGAGTTGGTAAAAAAAAATTAAGTGATTTGTTTGAAGGGCTCAGCTAATGAGCACAGGGTCATGGTTAGAACACAGATTTTTTGGATTCCTGGTCCATTGTAGCTTCTATCCACTACCACCTCACTTCCAGCCTGTGATACTTATTACCTTACAATAGCCACCATCTTCTAGGATACCCTATAACTATTTAGACCTGGAGGACAGTTAAAGAATTATAAAACACACCTTCTGTATCACCTATCATAAGATAAACCTTGCTGTTTTCTTCTCTCCACATTTTAACTCTGATTCTGCATCAACTATTCAAGTCAATAAACATTTATCAAATATTTATTATGTCTTATGATACTATGTTAGTTTGAGTGGATGACAGTAGTAAAAAACCCACAATTCTTTGCCTTGAGAAGCTTCCAGTCTAGTTGTAGTAACGTATGTACACAAATAACTTTATGGTAACTACAACATAGGAGGAAACACACAGGAGGAAAATATTTCTGGCTCAAGGGAGGAGGAAAAGCTTTCATAAGATGCAAAATTTTGTGTGGGTTAAGGAGGTGATATCACAGTATTTTTGACACTGGTCATGTTACTGATACATTTAATCATTATCAAGACAACCCATAAGAGGTAATAGCCCATAGTTATCTCCCATTACAGAAGTGGAAACTGAGGCTATATCAAGTGACTTTCCAGAGTCACTTGGGTATTGATATAAGTAATAGAGTCAGGATTTTAACTTGAGGAGTTGGATGCTTGGAAATAAACTTCAATCACCATGGAACACTTACCAGGGTTCTGCTGCCTGGGGTTCTGAGGTCAAGTTTACCTGTGTTTGTAGCCTAGGCCACTTATCAGCCATAGGGAAAACTTTTACTTTATCTTTGTTTGTTTTCACATCTGTAAAACAATACTTATTGTGGTTTGAATGGCCAACTACAAGTGGGGAGTTACCAGAAGACCAACTGGCTGGCCACCAAGAAGATACTTACTGTGGTGGGTTCACTGCTGTTCAGGGGCTGATTCCCTGGCAGCATCCTGGGGCTGATCAAACTCAGGGAGATTTTCTCCTAAGCACAGAACCTACTGTGTCCAGTCACCATGCTGGGAAGATATTAAATATTGCTGGGCTATTGCTAACTTTGAAAAAGAACAGAGCAGAAAACCAAGGAACATAGGCAGGCCCTGGAAGCAGGAAAAGGAAAGGAAATAGATTTATTCTAGAAACCTAGAAAAGGAATGGAGACCTGCTGACACATTTTCAGCCCAGTGAGATCCACTTTGGACTTCTGAGCCCCAGAACTGTAAGAGAATAAATCTGTGTTGTTTTAAGCCTCTAAGTAGAGGTAATTTGTTACAGCAGCAACAGGGAACTAATACACATGCCAGGATCATTCCCTCCTTAGAGCATTTACCCAGGTTGCTCACTAGTGTTCCCTCTGACTAAGTGCTCATCTCCGAGATATTAGCATGTGGACATTTCCCCCATCATGGGGGTCCAAGTGGGGTCTCTGCTTAAATTGCACCCCTTTAGAAAGGCTGTCCCAGACCACTGAAAGTAGCCTCCTTGTTACTTTATCATGTGACCTGTTTTATTTTCATCATGACACTTATCACTGCTTGTTTTTATTTTATGCCATTTTTGTACTACACAAGGAGAGCTCATCTTGTCTCTTGCTTTTCCTTGTAACCACAGTATCTAGAAGGATGCCTAGCACCAAGTAGAAGCTCAATGTATATTTGTTGAATAAATAACTGAGAATTTGATCTGGGCAAGGCACATACATTATCCCACGGACTCTTTTCAATAGCTTGATGAGATAGAATTCCTACCACCATTTGGTTAAACATCAAGTCCACAAAAGCAATCATAGGTGTACCATGTTCTTGGCACATGGTAAACATTCTTAAATGTTGTAAGTAAATGAGCCACACTCAAAGAAATTGAATAGCCAATGTAAGTAAGACAATTCAAAAGTAAATATTTGCTACATTAATGCCTATGGTTTTCATAATCTATTGTTGAAGAATCCCAGAGAACTCTGTTCTCATGAACTCAAGCCTCCGTTCTACTTGGCTTCTGGACATCTCTATTTACATGCCCCACTGGCCTTGAATACAATATATAAATGGAGTTTGTAATCTCCCCAAATCTGCTCTGTAAAGATTCCCTGCTGAGTGGATGGCACTGGCATCCATCTGGCAGATTCTGGGAGTCATTTAAGACTGGTTCAACACTGTCCTAAAGATGATTGTCACTTATTTTTCATTCTTCCTGTGTAACAGTTCTTTATACTAATTGCCTTTTCCTGCTCCGTTGCCTTAGAACTTCTTCCTAGACTATTTGTCCCTCTGCTTCTAAAGTAATCTCTCCAGAAAAATGAGACCTGTCATCACTAGCTGGTTTAAAATCCCTCCGTGGCTTCCTACGGTATTTAATGAACTCTAAGTCCTTTACCACAACATGACAGGTCACACATGATCTGTACCCTGCCTCGCTCTCCACCCTTCCCATATCCCTGTCCCTCCACCCTGGTCTTTGAATTCCATGGTGTCAAGCTCTTCCTTGCTGAACAAGGACTTTCTCCCACATGCCTGTCATCCTTTAGCTCTCAGGGAGGCCCTCCTCCCCAATCTAGATGATTGGCAACATCCTGCTCTTCTATCTTAATTTTTAGTTACATGCTTGTTTACGTGTTTCCGCTACAAGATTATAAGTCCCAGAGGGCAAGGTTTTGTGGGGGTTTTTGTTCACAACTGAATGAGTAGCACTGAGACAGACCTGGCACACAGTGGAGGCACATTAAATATTTGTTCTATAAACAAAATATTTATTAAACTAAAATGTGTATCATGCCTTTTAGAGATGCATGCCTTATACAGTTTGGTTGGGATGATGTCAGGTGCAGTGGCATGGGTAACAACAAGAAAATTAAGGTGAAGAGGCAAGGTGGAGGGAAAAAAATGACAGGATAAAATGAGTGAGAGACAAGTGACAGAATGAAAGAGAATAGTGGAAAAAAGAGAAGGCAGGAAGGGCCTTGTGGTGGGTTAAACTGCGGCCACACCAAAGACAGGTGCACATCAAATCTCTTCAATCCGTGAATGGTACTGTGTACATTTCCTAGGGTTGCCTTTGCAAAATACCACAAACTGGATGACTTACAGCAATAGCAATTTATTATCCCACACTTCAGGAGACCAAAATTCTGAAATCCAGGTGTCAGCAGGGTTGGTTCCTTTTGGAGGCCCTGAGGGAAAATCTGTTCCATGCCTCCCTCCCAGCTTCTGGTGGCTGTTTCCAAGGTGAATCCTTGGCATTCCTTGGCTTGTAGACACATCACCCCAATCTCTGCTTCCAGCTTCATGTGACTTTCTCCTCTTCTGTCTCTTCTGTGAATTTTCACATGATCTTCTTATAAGGACAACAATAATTGGATGTAGAACCCATCTTAATCCAGTATGATTTCATCTTAACTAATGACATCTGCAAGACTTGATTTCCAAATAAGGTCACGTTCTGAGGTTCCAGGTAGACATACATATTTGGGGGACAATATTCCATACAGTACAGTTACCGAATTTGGAAAAAGGATATTTGCAGATTAATTAAGGATCTTAAAATTAGATAATTCTGGCTTATCTGGGTGGGTCCTAAATCTAATGACAAATGTCTTTATGAGACACAGAAAAAAAGAAGACATGGAAAGAGGCAGAGACTGGAGTGATGTGGCCATAGCCAAGGAAGCCACTTTATGCTGACAACCAACCACCAGAGGCTGGAAGAGGCAAGAAAGGATTCTCTCCCTAGAGCCTCCAGAGGAAGGGCTGCCTTGCCAACACCTTGGTTTGGACTTCTGGCTTTCAGAGCTGTGAGAGAATAAAGTTCTGCTATTTTAAAGCCAGTTAAAGGTATTTGTTACAGCAGCCATGGGAAATGAAAACAAACCTCAACGTAACAGAATCCACAGTGCATTGTATTGTTTCCTTTAAGTACCATTAAACCTTTTCTATGAGCGAGATTCTGCTCTAAACAGATAAAGTTCTTGGTAAATAAGAATTTGTTAACAGTCTTAGTTAAACTGGCTCAATTTCTGTATGCATGTTTACAAGGGCATACCTTCAAAGACTGAGATGCATGACTCTTTAACCTACTAAGAAATTACTCTGAGAAAATAATTGTGTTGTAAACTACCTTTCATGTTTCTCCACTTATCTTGCAACTGCCTGATAATTAACATCAGATTTTATCACACCTCAGGAGCTTCTCTTTTTAGGTTATTTAATGTTATCTGCTTCCCTAATAAGTTCCTTTCATCCTGAGATTCACTTTTTGTTATTCTGCCTGATGTATAATTAGATGATGCTGTGTACTGTGTAACCTTCAACTGGTAACATAACTCATAAGCCGGCTTAGTTTTTGTACAGCCAAGTCACGTCATCAAGATAAATCAATAGGAGGAAAACACAGGATGAGTCTCTTTCAACATTTGAATAAATTCAGAATTAAAATCGGGATCACTAAACTATCCCAGAAGTCCTTCCAAACCCTAAGTTCCATAGGTAACCACCGACCCCTTAGAGACCAGACTACTTCCACAGTGTCACACACTACTTCATTTCTTTATTTGGGTGAACGGCGGGGAGGCGTTGCTGATCCAGCAGGGTCTATGGTAGGAAGTCCGTTCATGAAACTCTCAATGTCCCTGGTTGCCAGAAAACACCCGAAGGGAGAAACTGTGGGGGCAGACAGACCACGTGGGCAATGGCAGGCAGCCCCCGCCCCTACTCGGCCAGCCCCTCACCACTTCTGCCTTGGGGTCCCTGAATCCTTTCCCTGTTGTTCTGTTGCGCAGAAGATCTGGTCCCCACCCCGGCAGCCTTCCCCACTGCCAGCAGGTGTAGGTAGGCGGGGGGCTCGGGGCACAGCGCCCGCCGCAGGCGTCAGACCTGGGAGTCCACCCGCCCTCACGGGCTGCAGCAGGACGCGGGAAGGCAGGGGTCCTGTGGACTTGGGCGGCGGCTCGGCGCCCAATTTTCAGTCCATCCCGCGGCTGAAGCCTCCCCACCGCTCCCGGTACGCCCCCGACGGTGGAGCCGCTTTCCCGCGCCGGTTCGGGACGCGTCTAACTCCAGCGGCTCAGTCGGGGAAGTGGGAGACAGAGCGTGGCCTCCACCCCCCTCCCGCGCATACGTCATCGCCGGCGTCGGGGAAGCGTCGTAATGCCCCGAAGAAGCGCGCCCACAAAAAACCTGCACCCCGCTGCAGATGCCGATAAATGTCCGACCCAGCGCAAGCTGGCCTTTCCCACAGTCTCGTGGCGAAGCAAAAGAACCTCTCCGTAGATGTGCTCCAGGGGCGCGGGCGGCTGTGCCTAAAGGTTTGTTGGAGTGGGACCCTTGATAAGGCTAGGTGTCTGTGGCGCCTCACGTCTCTCCTTGCCCTAGTCATCTATGATTCCGCAGGCCTTGGAAGTGGCGAGTCTGTGAGCCCCAGCCGGCAGCCAGCCTCTTTTCCTCGACCTCCTGCGCGGGCCAGCCCTACTGTCCGGGGCAGGGCATTCGCGCTTGGGAGCAGTGGCCAGAGCGGGTCTGGCCCTGTGCGCTTCTCTTAGGAGGCGCATGGTAGTGATGGCGGCGCTCAGTGAGGCTTTCCTGTCACTGGATACTACTACTCCCAGCCCTCCTCGAAGCCGCCGGAGCAACCCCCTGGTCTTTAGTTTACAAGTAGCAATTTGACTTGCTCTGCTGCATGTCAAGAGGGACCGTGGAAAGTGTGGAGACATCCCGGGGATTAAGTGGTCGCAGTTTAGAAAGGAAAAAAGGCAAACAAATAAACAAAACGCACCCACCCTAACAAACATGAGGCTGCTGGAGCGAATGAGGAAAGAATGGTTCATGATTGGAATAGTGCTGGCGATCGCCGGAGCTAAGCTGGAGCCGTCCATAGGGGTGAACGGGGGTAAGTCTGCACCTCCGCACGCTCCCCCGCGGTCCCCGCTTCAGAACTAATTTGCGAGTCTGGGAAAGGGAGGGAGACCGCACGCGGAAGGGTCTGCCTCCCTCGGGGGCACTGACCTGCCCCGGGTGTCTTTCGGCCCTTTTGCTGGTGTTTTAATGTGCCATCCGCGGAGGGTACTTGTAATGAGGAATGAGACGAGCGACTTTGAACGCAGGTTACCTTTCCCGCGAACGGTCGGTGCGTACCCTTAGTGTCAAGGAGTGAGGTGACTGAGAATGAAATGAAACTTATTTCTCTTCCCTTCGAAGTAGCATCCTGTCCCACGGGAGGCTAGCCTGCGAGGGCTTCCTTATCTATCTCATTACCTTGTCCGTTTCCAAACACCCCGCCTCTGTTAAAAAAAAAAAAAAAAAACAGTGGGGGAAGAAGAAGAGCCAGGGTCACCCCTTCCTCCTCCAGCTCAGGTTCTGTGGCCCACAGGTTGGGGAGTGATGGTCTGCAGCCTCTGCTGCTGCCCCAGAAACTCCCAAGCTGGCTGACACGTTGCACATTTTCCTTACAGGACACCACTTCCGTGTGCGCCTGGCGGGACTCAGGAGCTGCACTGAGCAGTGGTCTAACAGATACCGGCTGTGTTAGACTCTGTGCAGTGTGTATTTTGGCAAGGAAATGTAGGCGGACTAAAGTCAGACTCAAATCCTGAATAGTGGGAGCCTTGTAATGTGGGATGAGCACTGGTGGACATGACTGGAAACATCATTAGCCTTTTATGCCCCTTCACCCCCATCATGTCCTACTTTTCATAAACATCAATTGAATTTTTTTCAATTTATTGTCTTTCTGACCTTGTTGGTCAGTTTCCATGCTTATTGACAGGTTTAATAATCAGTCATACAACAGGAACAGATCAGGAGAGAAGTGAGCATGGGAGATCTTTATGTTAGGAAGTGGCAGGAGTTATTTGTGCCTTGTTGTTAAAACATGATGAGAGTGAATAAAATGACCTCTCAGGAGGACAGTGGTTCCTTCTACCCTTTCCCTTCAATTCCTCCACTGAGGAGTCGCTTCAGGGAACATGTAAAAGGAATTCCTTGAATGAAGATTGTGGGGACTAAAACTTTTTTCCCTCCTATATTCAACTTAGTACAAATGTGTAGGGTACATATCCGAGAATAAAGCTGTTGCCTGTGGTGGCTTCTCTCCCTGAAAGTACCATTTTCTTCTTCAACAAAGCTCTGTGAGCTTTGTGGAAACTTGTGAATGTCAATATTTCAGGTTCTGTCAGGGGAGTACCCCCTGCCTCTGCAGCTAGCTGGATAGTGAGAATTAAAGTGAGTGTCTTCTGGTGATCTGAAACGCACACTTGACTAGCTTCACTAGTACATTTTATAGCTACTGGTGTTAGATCGTTTATTTGCTCGATGTTAGGGTGAAGCTACAGGTGATGTATGATCTTTAAGTTTAGATCCGCAAGGCCTAGGTGTGGTTAAATACCGTTTCCCTTACATTTCCTGGGTGCTCCTTGGGAAGAAGGATTGTTGAATGCTGAATCATTTCCCTAGGACTTCCTGTGGCATGTCTGAGATAGAGTCTATAATCTTATTTCTTCCCTCTACTCTGCTTCTTGATGTTTTGGTATATTATTGTACCTTAGAAATATTGTTTCCTATTTCCACTAGTCTTTATACTATTAATTTAGGATAATTCGTTTCTTTGTTTAATTTTAAAAGAATAGAACATTAAGAGCTAACAGGATTTTTTTTTTTTTTTTTTTTTTAAAGAGAGAGTTGAAGGGAGGGAGGCGGGAGAGAGAGAGAAACATTGATGTGCTTTCTACTGGTTGCCTCCTGCACTCGCCCTGACCAGGGCTGGGAATCCAACCTGAGACTCTTTGGTCCACAGGCCGATACTCTAACCACTAAGCCAAACCAACCAGGGCTAAAAGGGATTTTAAAAGTGTTTTAAGCCAACAGACTTCCTTCACAGTTAAAGATACTGAGACCTGAGGTCATGGGACTGACCATAGGTTAAGTTAGCTAGGAAAGAGGAAGGACTGGAGACCAGGACTCCCCCTTATTTTATACCAGTTGCCAAATCCATACACAATTTCTTGGTGAAAAATCATTAAACATGAATAACCATGATAAAGAAGGGTTCTCTTTAATCTTCTGTGCCCTGAATTTTAGCCCAAGGGAACAGAACAGAATCCACTAATATTAGACAACAGTAAACTCATATGATTTCTCTGATAGCTGTCCACATGTAAAAGTTACTTTCTCTAAAAGCAGAAGTTAAGCAAACAGTTGTTTGGGGTTTCTTATATAGGCTGTCAGGCCAAGTTCTTAACACTTCTGCTGAGTTCTTGATTGACATTATAACCTCTTAAATTAAAAAACAAAAACAAAAATCTCCAAATATTGTCAAGTAACACTTTCACTCCACTAGTTAATCCAAAGGAAATCTAGGAACACAGAAAGGAATGGTAGCTAAAAATATTTCTGTCTTATTCTGCTCGTTAGAAGGGTCTAAAGGAGCAGTTCTCAACCTGTGGGTCGCAACCCCTTTGGGGGTCGAATGACCCTTTCACAGGGGTCACCTGAGACCATCGGAAAACACATATTTCAGATGGCGATTAATAACAGTAGAAAATTACAGTTATGAGGTAGCAACGAAAATAATTTTATGGTCGGGGGTCATCACAACATGAGGAACTGTATTAAAGGGTCGCAGCATTAGGAAGGTTGAGAACCACTGATTTAAAGCATCTCCTTTTGCTTCTAACTTTTAGCCAAAGTTTCCATTTATGGGCTTTGTACATTGGGATTAGGATTTTTAATACATTCACACTGACTGAACAATGTTCAGAAGAATAGTTTTTCTAGACATTCTTTTAAATAGGAAAAGCTTGGGTAGTCTTCAACTTGTTAAGATGCTCACTTCACCTTTACCTGGATCAGTACCTTAATGACTACACTCTTTATTTTTAAGTGTAAGACTTCATCACAACTATGATCTGACCTCTGCTTAAAAACATCTTCATAGCCAATTGGTAAGTTATGTATGGCAGAAAATGTATAGACGTGGGAACCCTAAAATTAGAGAAGTTGAATGACTTCAAATGGAAAAAAGTATAGTAGGTACTAGCCAGGTAATTTATTTCTTAGTTCACTGTTCTTTTTACTTACGTTTTATTTTTAAGTAAATAGGAAGTTGAAAATAAAGAGCCGCAATAGATGTAAATGTATATAGATCTGAGGTGCCATTAATGTGTTCCATTGACACCTGAGGAAACTCTGAGCTATGCACACCTTAGAGTTTACTTGAGTTCAGCACTGTGCTGTTCATTCTTGGGAAGAGAAAGGTTTACTTCTTTGGAAGTACAGAGTAACTTTCTCGTTTCTACCTGCATCTTAACTTAAATGACTGCCATTGATAATACATAAACCCTAAAAAGGAAACTGCTTTGTTTTTCCATAGAATAAAAAAAGAACACAACCAGAAACATGCTATAAGCTTCAATGCATTGGCATGAATATCTTAGATTAGGTTTAGAAGTGAAATTTAATTTGGTGATGGGTAGATTTTATGAAACAGTAATAGTTCCTTGCATTCTTTTTGTTGTTGTTGTTAATCCTCACTCGAGGATATTTTTTCCATTCATTGATTTTTAGAGTGAGTAGAAGGGAGGGAGGGAGGGAGGAGGGCAGGGGGGAGAGAGAGAGAAACATCGATGTGAGAGAGACACTTAGATTGGCTGCTTCCTGCACACCCCTTGACCGAGGCTGGGGATCGAACCCAAAACCCAGGTACGTGCCCTTGACCAGGAATCAAACCCGAGACCCTTCAGTCCGAGGGCCAACGCTCTAACCACTGAGTCACACTGGCCAGGCCCCTTGCAGTCTTAAGCATTCCAAATCATTTTCTTTTTCCCCATTAAAACGAATGAGTTCTGGAGTCCAAAAATTGCTTCATTTTTTTATGGCCAATTTTTTTGTTTGATTTTACTACCTCATTTTATTTTCACTGATAAATATTATTTTGCTTTTGTTTAAAGGAAAAGTTAAAACTTGTATTTCCACTGTAGCTTCATAGTCATCTTAAGATCTGGATCTGGTATTTTGGTGATGTGGAGGATATAATCATTACCTTGGAGAGGGCCAGGTATCATTTTTAAATAGTAGTTTTAACTTGTCACCTCTGTGCAAATACTTACCAAGTTTTATTGTAGCCCTGGGTGGCTTCGAGGTCCACATTCAGAAGTTGAGCTGTCTATTGCCATTTTGGTGATCATGTCTCACTGGGGCCTTAGGTTTCTCAGAACAATGTCCTCCTTCTTTTTAAAAGGTATCTTGTAGGTAGCCCTGGAATACCCTCACCATGTCCTTTCGTGGTTTAGAGTTATTTAGAGCTGCCTCTAATAAAACAACAGCAGTATAACCTGTCTCCACGATTTAAAACATTGAAAGTCAAAATTCATTCTACTGAATGACGCCAATTAGTTAGCAGTTACCATGTGTATTTATGTATGTATACGTGAACTATGGGAAGAGTTTTTTAAAATTTTGGCTGTTGGCCAACTAAGGTAGATGCTTTAACTGCCCCAAAGAAACATGCAATCTAAGCAAATGCCATGTGCTGGCTATTGGAGATGTGTCTTAGACATGTTCCCTGGCTCTCACTTGCGACCAGATTGCTAACTCTGACCCATCCTTATATGGAAATTCTGGAGGCACCGCTGTGGGCAGAACCACGTTGACAAGCATAAAGTCTGATAAAAACAACAGGAGATTGGAGGAAAATAAAAATGATATGGGTTTTTAAAAATGGTATTTAAAATTCCTGGGAGGCATGTACTTTTCCAAACAAGCCAGACTCCTTGACTTTAACATCTGCTTCTGAATTACCTGTCTCAGTTGTTGAGGAAATATTATTTCTAAGTGTGAGCTGCTGAGACAGCTTCACTCACAGGTAGAACAACAATGTACGTCCTTTGAAGTTTCTGAACAGCCTCTACTGCCCTGGTAGGTAATGCTGTTGGCACTTACTTCTTCCTTTTGCTTCCTTTTCTCAGGTCTCAGTAAAATGATCTGTGTAAATACCAGGTACATAAAAGAATTTTTGGCATTGTTTGAGGAGATCTTTCTTTTGTTCACTGATATATTACAGTGCCTAAAATATAGTAGTTGCTCAATAAATATTTGTTGACTGAATGAATGGTGATTTTTCCTGAGCTTGAATGGAGCAAGAACTGTAGGTGGATGGTGGAGTTACAGGGAACGGAGGAGCCATGGATGCGGTCCTGTTGTTTTGCTTAACAAGGTGTATTAGCCTTGGCCAATTTGCTCAGTGGTTAGAGTGTCGGCCCGCGGACGAGAGAGTCCCGGGTCGTTTCCTGCTAAGGGCACATACCTTGGTTGCAGTTTGTCCCTGGCCCCGGTTGGGGTCGTGCGGATGGCAACCAGTCGATGTGTCTCCCTCACGTTGATGTGTTTCTCTTTCTCTCTTCCTCCCTCTCTCTCTCCCCCACTCTATCTGAAGATAAATGCAAAAATGTCATCCAGTGAGGATTTTTAAAAAAGGTGTTTTAGTTTCTTAGAATTGACATAGCAAATTACCACAAACAGGGTGGCTTCCAACGACAGAAATTTGCTTCCTCACAGTTCTGGAGGCTAAGGTCTGATCACGATGTTCGCAGGCCATGCTTCCACCGAAGGCCCTAGGGAAGACTCTTTCCTGGCTTCTCCCAGCCTGTGGTTGCCGGCCGTCAGTATCCCTTGGTAACATAACTCTAGTCTGTGCCTCTGCCTTCACATGGCCACCTTTCCTCTGTGTGTGACAGAGTCCACATTTCCCTCTTTGTGTAATACCAGTCATTGGAGTAAGGCCCACACTGATCCAATAAGACTTCTTAATTTGATTACATCTGCAAAGACCGTATTTCCAAATAAGGTCCCCTTCACAGGTTCTGGGTGGACACAAATGTTCGGGAGGATACTATTTAACTCAGCACAGAGGGTTGAATAGAATATCAAATATGAGATGATCTCAGATTTTAAACTGTGGGTATAGGTCAGAGTTTCTCAACTTCAGCACTACTGACATTTTGGTCATGATAATTCTTTGTTGTTGGGAGCGCTATCCTGTGCCTTCCATGATGTTTAGCAGTATTCCTGGTCTCTGCCACTGGATGCCAGCCACACTTCCTAATTCCTGAGTTAAAACAACTAAGAAGTTTCTAAATGTTGTCAAATGTCGGTGGGGCGCAAAATTGCCTGGTCAGACAATCACTTGTATACAGTTATAAAATGGCATTTTCTCAAGACTACATCTTTTATTTATTTATTTTAAACCATATTTTATTCACCAGATTATTATTTTTTATTATTTTTAATCCTCACCAGAGGATATTTTTCCATTGATTTTTTTATATAGAGGAGGAAGGGAGAGAGAGAGAGAAACATCCATGTGAGAGAGACACATCGATTGGTTGCCTCCCACATGACCCCCACCAGGGCCCAGGACCAAACCACAACTGAGGTACATGCCCTTGATCAGAATTAAATCCATGACTCTTTGGTCCAAGGACCAACGCTCTAACTGCTGAGCCAAACCGGCCAGGGCTCAGACTACATCTTTTAAAAGAATGTTGTCCATTGGTTAGCACATTAGGTCTTTAAGCCAATTGTGTGCAAGCCACAAAAATAAATAAAGGTTAGGGTTACCCCTATTATACTCACAACATTAACACATCTAGGATGTTGCCAGCCTAACTTCAGAGAGAGTTTTTTAGGGGGCAAAGATCAGGCCTGTCTGGTTCACTACAGTATGCCCAGGGCCGGGCACAATTTTATAATAATTACCATCTTAACAGCATGTTGTTAAGTACTCTCACATAGCAAGTGCTCAATAATTATTTGTAGATTGAATACTCTTAGGGAGAACTGAATGTATGCATGAACACAAGCTTTTATTTTATGAATACAAGTATCCTAGAAGAAATAAAATAATATTTGCTAAAGAGAACATAACTTCTTCCATTGATTCTCTCCTTTCCATTTGGGAACTGATTCTGTGGCAATGTGATTAGGACCTATGTTGACTCTGTTCTCCTGTGTGAGCGCAGAGTTTATTTTTATTCTTCTGGTCTAAGAACACTGTGCTGAACTGGACAGCCATGGTACTTGCCTTCTGGAAACTCCTCTCTAGAATTAGACCGTATCACAGCAAATGCTTAACTCTGTGAGGACAGTAGTATACCAGGGTCAACACTAAGAATGAAAGTACTATTTGTCCTTCTCTGATGGATTTGTCTTTCATACCCAGTTATCTACTGGAAATTCTCATCTAACAGTAACCAATTTCTCTCTCTTTAGGACCACTGAAGCCAGAAATAACTGTCTCCTACATTGCTGTTGCAACAATATTCTTTAACAGTGGACTATCATTAAAAACAGAGGTACTGTCACATATGGGGCACATGAAAAGCAGAGAGAAACATTTAATTTATACTTAGTATTTTAAACTTTCAGAATCCTTTTGTAAAGCTGTATGTAGTTGTAGTCTGAAGGCTTCACTATAACAGAAGATAATTTGGACTTCAGCCTAATATATATGTTTTGTATGTACATATACTAGAACCTTTAAAGTCAAGCAGCAGGGACCCTGAAGATGTGGTTATAATGAGTATGTTTTTAACATGGCAACTGAATGATGCATCTCCTCAGGTCTTCCTCAGATTATGGTGGTAACTATAGTGGTGTCTGCTCTAGCACCCTTAGGCTGTTGATGTTTATTTGAGTTCCCATAACTTTGTGGCTCATCTTTTATTCCCAAGATTGATGCTGTTCAAGTAATATTTGTTATAACTTTTAACTAAATTGTGTTTTAAAAAAATGTATATCTTTGCTAGTGCTGTATATTAAATGTTAATAGATGCTTTAAAGTATTGGTATTTTTCATACTAAGTCATACTCTATCATGAAGACATACAGATGATGTTATTTAATGATCCAGGTGTCACTGAACATGGGATTCCTTGGAATTAGAGAAACCCAGACATTTTTAAACCTGATAGCGGAATGAGTAGAATTTATGATTCTGTTTTGACTCATAATGGAAGAAAAAAAGGAGAGAATACCCACTTGCTTTTGAAGAAATTACATAGAGGTTTAAACGTTGTCATTCTAAGATGCTTAGTCTTATGTAAACAGGGAAATCTTACTGTGTAAGGATTTTTGTTGTTGTTAATGCCTTTAAAACTTACAATTCTATTTGTGTATCATATCTTGCCTTTTTAATGTGTGATTTTAATGAAGATCATATTTACTTACCTCCTTTACGATCATCTTAGTAGCAACATGGAAAAAAATATAGTTTTACTAAATTTTTGTATTCTGTAGTTAGCAGGTTGGTATAAATCTTTCCATTGGGGCATTTGGGATATAGATGGGATCCATATGTAGTGTCTGTGACAGATAAATTGTGTCTCAAGAATGAGAAATAGTCTTACTGATTACTGATATTCTGAAAATAGCTAACATGGATGGGATTCCCTAAATATGTCAGATTCCACTTTTTGTAAATTATATTGATAAGAAAGGACTTTGATTAGTTCTTAGAGAGCACAGGCTTTACCTGTCAACACCAGAGTTCTATTCGTCCTCAAATGTGGGACACAATGTACAGAAAGATATTTGCCACTCCTGTGCTGCTGGTCAGCTCAGGGGTCTTCCTGCTGGCCTTGGCTAGTGCTCTTTGTGAAGCCGCTGCCTCACTCCAGTCCTCTTGGGGGGTTGCTCTAACTACACTCCCTGGTGGAGGCTTAATGGCTCCAGCCTTTGCTTATGCCATGGGAAATCTGGCAAGAAACTTGATTCTCTCCTTAGCTTTTTGCTTAATGCTATTTTGTAAAGCAGCCAACTACGTGGGATGCACAAGTTGAAGAAGGATTGTCACAGTTACTAGCAATTCTCTAAGGACTGGATTCTTCTGTAAGCACCTAGGAAACCTTGAGAGTCATACAGCTAATTTGGCTCTAATGATGAAATGCCTGGATCCCTGTGCATTCTCATGTATCTAAGTAGCCATCAGAGCCATTTCCTTCATAAAAGACCCTTCTGAAGCTAATACAACATTAAGTCATTTTCAAGATCCATTTAACTTAAGATGCCCTAGATTGTATCATTGTGCAAAGTTAAACCATTTCTAAGCCCTGCTAATTTCCTGGGCAACCAAACAGTTGTAAGTTAGATGGTAGCAATCTTGTTGTTATTTGTTTTCTAGTTAATAATCTTAAATTAATTTTAGCTGGAACAATTACTTTTTTATCCTATTAGGTCTTAGAATAGTGCATTTTTGCACACAGGAGACGGTGAGTTATTATTGACTTGAGTTTACTGGAAAGCATTTACAGTGGTCCCATTCGGATTTGATTCGTACTGAACATTTTATGTAGTTTTACTCGTACATTGATGTAATGATGTGTATTCTAAAATTTATTTTGCTCATTTATTAAAATTATAAAGAACTCTGTGTTGATATGTCATGCTAAAAATATTTCATGCTAAATCTTCCATTTTATAACTGCTGATTTCTAGTTTTGAAATGCGTCTTGAAATTATTTCTGAAATTTTATTGTACTGAAGTGTAATAAGGTCACATTTGAAATATATTTTATATATAGCTAATTTCAAACCTACAGTTTCAGAGGATTTGTCACTTAACAGACCATGGCAAGACCAGTTTATTTAAACAAATAACCTATCAAGTGCCTGTGTCTATAAGGTACCGCGCCAGGTGCTGGAGTAGAAACCGAGATGAGCAGGAAGCTCGGCCTGCAAGGAGTCCTGAGTAGAGCAGAACATACAGGTTTTCCCTTAGTTTCCTAAGCAGATTATTTTTTAAATTCCCATTCACTCAGAAGTAAATATAGCAAATCCTGTTGTAAGCTGTCAGCGAGATAACCAGAGACACCAGCGAATTGTAAAGGAGCACTTCATTACACCGGTGGGCTGAAGGGGAGCTCTCCCCAAATTGACAGCCCTGAGCCTTCTTTGTTGCCTGTGTATATAGACACAAACTACAGAGAAAAAAACTACGTTCTTGGTGCCGCTTTTGACCCCGTTAAGGCGGGGAACTGATGGAAAGGGGGCAAGAGCAGGTGTTAGAGGTTAGGGCAACCATTAATCTTTTTCTCATGGTTCCTCTGAGTTTCTCAAGGCCATCATTAACCCCCTGTCATTATAGTTTTCTTTGGGTTTCTCAAGGCCCTTATGTTTACAAAAAAGAAACTGCCAGGGTGTGTATGTGCAGTAACTGAGGGTCAGAATGGAGTCACTACAATCCCAAACTTTAGGTTCATCCTGCTTGTTTCCATCCCAGAGCTCTGAGGCTGACCCTCAGAAATCAAGTAAAGGCCATGTAAGGTTAGAAGGGAAATTGGTATACAATGAAAATATTTCTACATCCCAGGCAGAGTCCCTGATTTTAAGCCATTCTTGATGCTGTCAGTGAGACTCTGGGATAATCAGTAGGCGGAGTATCTCCTTAAGTTTATTTTAATGGAATTTGACCTACATTACATGTGAATAAACAAAACGATATGCAGAATCAACTTTTCAATTATTTATTTCAGTAAGTGGCTCTAAATTCTACATGGATATATATGGATTTTATTATGTTACTTGCTTTTTCTTTTCCAGGGTTACCTCATTTTCTCTTTTAACGTTGTATGAAGATCTAGAAAATAGATAACACTAGGTTTTTATGGCAGTCTTGAAAATCTTTCTTAGAAACACTTCATATCTGTTATTTCCCTGTTGTTAAGAGGCCCCGTATGACCCAACAGAGTAGGCCCTTGTGATTCATTTTGCTGGGTTCTTCACGGTTCCATTATTCTGATGTGATATCAGTTGTTTCTAATTGTCATTTATTAGGCCAGCCAGTATTCTCTAACTGCATTTTATTTTTCATAACTCTTTTCTGATTACAGAAGTGGTATTTCCCCATTGTAGAAAGATTAGAAAGAGTAAGACAACTGTTCTAACATCTGTGTGTGTTTTTAGTTCTGTTTTTCTTAAACATATTTTACATACAGAATATTTTAAAAATAAAATACATTTAAAAATTATATATATATATATATAGTATACACATACTTGCATACATATACCCACACATACATGCATATATAGGTTTTTTTTCCCAATGGAACATTGTATAATAATAATTTTTCATGTAATTTAACACTTTAACTTTTCTTCACTTATATAATAAAAATAAGATAATTTACATTTTGTTTACCTTATGTACATAAATCAAAAGGTACAAAATTATATATGATGAAAAATCTTCCTTACACCCTTCAACAGATGTCTATCCAGTTCTCTTCTCTGGAGACAACTAGTGTTGACAGTTTCTATGTTTCTTTCCAGAGATATTCTGTGCAAAACATACATATTTGTATCCCGCCTTTAAACTGTTATTTTTTTAGCCCTGGCCGGTTTGGCTCAGCGGTTAGAGCGTTGGCCTGCGGTCCAGAGAGGCCCGGGTTCAGTTCCCGCTAAGGGCACGTACCACAGTTGCAGTTTGTCCCCGGCCCTGATTGGGTCATGCGGGTGGCAGCCACTCGATGTGTCCCTTTTACGTCAATGTTTCTCTCTCTCTCTCTCTCTTTCTCTCTCTCCCTCCCACTCTATCTGAATAAAAAATGGAAAAAAATGTCCTCGGGTGAGGATAAAAAAAAAAATCAATCAATGAATGCCTAAATAAATGAAACAACAATTGTAAAGATAAATAAATAAATAAATAAAATTGTTATTTTTTTAAATTGATTTTTTGAGAGAGAGGAAGGGAGAGGGAGACAGAGATATAAACATCGATGAGAAAGAACATTGATTGGTCACCTCCTGCATGCCTCTCACTGGGGATTGGGCCCACAACCTGGGCATGTGCCCTGACTGGGAATCAAACCAGCGACCTCTTTGTGAATGGGTTGATGCTCAACCACTGAGCCACACCAGCCAGGCTAAACTGTTATTTTAGACTGTTTACCACTTTACCTTATTTAACTCAAAAACATATCTTGGAGGTTATTTTTTACCAACATATAAAGAACTCTCTGTTTCTTTTTGTATGCTGAAAAATATTCCATTTTATGAATGTGTCATGATATATTTTCGTGGTCCCCTATTGATGGACATTTAGGTAATTTGCAGGGTTTTGCTGTTATAAACATGCTGCAAAGGAGAACTCCAAAATATGTCATTTCCCACATTTGGGAGCATATGTGAAGGGTGAATTTCTAGAAATTTTGTATTTCTATGAGAACTATATGCAAATGCCTTAATTACTGCATTCTGGCTAATCATTTTATTACAGTTTAAAAATTGAAAACACTGATATGTATTTGGTATTTATTGAATGCCTCTGAGTATATCTGTGTGAGATTTGGTTTCAAGACTGCTGAGAATTCTTGGAACTGCTGGTGCTCAGGTTTTTCTGGGTGAAACTTCTGATTCATTGTAAGGATGGCTCCTTTTCTCTTAGCTCTGATCCATGGAGGATGGCTTCTGGTCTGTCCAGTGTTTTCCAGTTGCCTTACATTAGTTCCAGATTGCCAGAAGTTTCTTGGATGTGGTTAAGGATATCTTGTGACCGAAATGGAACTACTGTGTGTCTTCACTCAGGGAGGGAAATAGTGGGAGCCAGTGAGACAGGTCCTAGAGGTAATCAGTGAATGAGTCTGCACTGACCGACTATTTATTCAGTTATCAAACAGGCTACTGCCTTTGAAGCTGAGGGTCTTTTGAATGTCTTGCTTGAACTGGGGGTACTGGGACCTTATTACAGTGCTATGCTTGTAACCAGTGAATCTCTGGCAACTTTGAATGTGCTTTAATGACTGCCTAAATGTTTTATATAAGTTTTTTACTACTTTCTGAATTTATTTTATTTCTACCAAATAACCACATAACTCAAAGAAATTCAAATGCAAACACTTGTTAATTAATATATCTTTAAAACCCCAAATTTAACTGAGTACCCTTTTTTTTAGTTGTGAGACTCATAACATGTGCCTGGCTTCTAATGTTTTTTGATGGGAATGTTTTCCCTTCAGCACAACAGGACAATACAGTGGATGAAGGAGGCATGGGTTTATTGGGTTTGATTCTGAGCGTCACTGTGTAGTAGCTTTCAATCTCAATTTCCTCAGCAGTAACATAGGGACAATAATATCCACCTAAGGGGGTTGTTGTGAGGATTAAATGAGAATATACATGAAGTGGCAAGCTCAGAGATGGCATATAAGCACTCTTCAGTAAATGTTAACAAAGAAATCTAGTGAGTCGATTTTGTGGAAATAGCCATTTTGAATTATAGAATGTTTTTGGGAAGAACATTTTAAAAAATTATGATTTGTGCATAGATTTAGTAATACCTTGCCAAATTGAGGCCTTTCTAGGTTTGGTATAATGACTAGAAGTTAATTATATTAAAATGTGATAGGTCTGCTAAAAATTTTAAACAGATTTATTATTTTTTTAGATGGTTAAACATACATGTTTGTTTACAGATGGTTAAACATACATGTTTGTTTACAGTGCCAACAGTTCTCAGATATACTAGTGTAAAGGTGGTTAGCTTAGTCCTGGTTCAGAATTTCACAAATCTGAATTGTTGTGATATATTATATATTTGAAAGCAATTAGAATATTTCATAAATTTTATATAAAAATCATGATCTCCATGGAAAACTTCATAATCATCAACAATAACTTCTTTCTTAAAGTTTGTCTCTTATGCATATGCTTATAGGTAAAAAATTCAGCTATGAAGTAACTCCAAATTGATGGATGTAACTAGATTTATTTGTGGTGATCATTTTGTAGTGTATACAAATATTGAATCATCATGTTATATACCTGAAGCTAATATAATGTCTTATGCCAATTATACCTCGATGAAAAAAAAGTAATTTATGTGATATTATTTTGGTATCGTCTCTCTTCAGAAATTTTTTTTTTAAACTTCTGTTATTTTGTGCCCTTTTATGCAGGAGCTGACCAGTGCTCTGGTGCACATACGACTGCATCTTTTCATTCAGATCTTCACACTTGCATTCTTCCCAGCAACAATATGGCTTTTTCTTCAGATTTTATCAGTCACACCAGTCAATGAATGGCTTTTAAAAGGGTATGTTTAAATATTTTTAGGAGTCCCCTTTTTAATTAATTAATTAATGTTTTATTGTTGACACTATTACAGATGTCCCCATTTCCCTCCCTCTTTGTCCCCTTCCACCCAGCCCCACCCCTGTCTTCACCACACTGTTGCGCTGTTGTTTGTGTCCACGGGCTATGAATATATGCATATATGTTCTTGAAGGGTCTACTTTTAATGGGACATCTTTAGTGACATTGTTTCTGTAGCAACTATATATAAAAGGGCTTATGTATGATATCATATAAGAAAGTAAAATCACTTTTAACATTATTATTAGCCTTTAAAATGATAGTGCTTCATCAAGAAGATCCATCAAAATTTTATAACAGAATGTTAAAATACACTCATATGCTTAATCTTAAGGTTCTAGATGAACAGTATTCTGGGAATTTAAAAGAGTTGTGTTGGGAGGAAAAAGAGAAGAGACTAGAGGATGTATGATCTGTATGTATGTGTAAATGTAGGTCAGTTGGGTGCTTTAACTTTTGCAATTTATCTTACCAAATGTACACAGATAATGGCTGAGTATAATGTGCTTTTAAAATGTATAAGAAAGAAAAAATATATACAGGGGACAAACATTTATTTTTTTTACTTGTGCTATTTTATTGGATAGTTGAATTAACAATGAATTTTTATTAGAATCTTTTCTTCTATTAAAAATGTCATGTTTAAAGGATTTAATAATTTTCAAAAATTACTTGAATTGGTTTAAAAGTGACCAAATGTTAGCGTCATGATATAATAGCTAAATACTGAACTTAAAGCCAGAAGATTGCACTCTGACCCTGTCTCTAATCTGCTATGTGACTTTGAGGAAAAGCATTTAATAGTTTTAAGCCTCAGTTTCCCAGTTTATAAAATGAAGATAATCTTGCTTATACTGCCTGCTTAACAACAGTGTCAGGGAAATCCATTAAGTCATTTATTTAGCTCCTACTATGTGCCAGGAATTATTATAGGTATTGAAAAACCATCAATGAACAAAATTGGCCAAGAGCCAGTTAGTTTTGCACACAGAAGAGACTGGATATGATTGTGAGTAAAGAAGTAAATAGTAGATGATCAAGACAGAAATAAGTGATATGAAGTAAATGGGCTGGGTGAACAGACTGGTGATTAATTTAGATTGTAGAGTGTTCTAGGCAAAGGGAACAGAATGTGCAAGGGCTCTAAAGCCGGAACAGCCCTGGTGTGTTCTGGGTTCAGGAAAGCATCCGTGATGGCCAGAGCCTGGTGATGGGAGGAGGAATACTCTGACTTGGAGTTGGAAAGGTAGGCGGAACCAGTCACTCAGAGCATTGTAGGCTATGGTAAAGCATTCAGATTTTATTCCGAATGTCACAGGAAAACCACTGGAGGGAACTCAAAGAGAAAGTGGTGTTGTCTGATTTATATTTGCAGGGGATTCTCCTGGCTACTCTGTGGAGAATAATAGATAGTAGAAGGGCCTGAGAGAAAACTAGGAGACCAGCTTGGGAGCTAGTATGGTGCAGCAGTGCAGTAGGGAGAAATGGATGCATAAGGATGTATTTTATTTATTTATTTTTTTATCCTCACCCGAGGCCATTTTTGCATTTATCTTCAGATAGAGTGGGAGGGAGAAAAGGAGGGAGAAAGAGAGAGAAACATCGAAATGAGAGAGACACATCGAGTGGTTGCTACCCACACGATCCCAACTGGGGCCGAGGACAAACTGCAACCGAGGTATGTGCTCTTAGTGAGAACCGAACCCAGGACTCTCTGGTCCGTGGGCTGATACTCTAACCGCTGAGCCAAGCTGGCCAGGGTTTAAGGATGTATTTTAAAATTAGAGTTCTTGGAACCCATGGATGGATAGGATATGGGGAGAGGACAAGGAAGAATCAGGATGACTTCTGGATCTGGGATATGAGCCACTGGGTCTTTGATGACATCCTTTACTCAACTGGAGAGAAATAAGGGGAAAATCAAGAGTGCTGTTCTGACTGACTGAGTTTGAGAGAATGAACATAAAATTTTATGGAAACGCATATAATGTCACATAAATATAATGACATCATTTTTGAGCAACAGTGTACAAGGCGGACACAAATAGGTTTGCAATTGTCTTACAAATAAATAATATATTAATTAAATAATAATAATACAACAATAACTCTGTTTTGCATGCTCACAACTGGAAACCAACTTTTGTCCAGCTCTGTGTAATGCGTATTAAGAACCAATAGTTATTGAATATCTGCCATGTGGAGAGCACTCAAGAGATAGGAAGATATGAACTAATTTTGCTTGTATTAAGGGAACTTCCAATTTAGTTGGATGTGTAGGACATACATATAAAATAGTAGCCAATCAAAATGGGGCATCATATGATTTGTCAGATGAGGGGTGTAATCAGTTAAAGGGTAAGAGGTTCAGCAAAGGTTGTGTACTTCTAAACCAGAGAACTCAAGTATGAGACATTACTTGGAGGAAGATACAAAGTTTCCTTAAGGCCAACTTGCTGAAGACCAGAACTACTGAATCCCTAGATGTTGGAGAGTTCTTTAATGTACCAAACAAGAGTCTGATATGCTAAAAAGTGGTCATTAAGGAGAATTAATCTGGATTTACAGATGGTGTGGAATAGGCTTGCAACTTCAGTATGCTGAATAAAACAAGCACACAATTCTTACCTCAGTGTATTAAGCTTAAAGAGTACAAACTTAGCCTAACTCACTTCGGCTAAGTGAGTTAGCCGAAGAGTGAGCTTCCTAGCTCACTCTTCTCCCTTCCCCTCCACAATTTAGAGTATAGATTTAATAGGTTAACTTTAAGGACTTGCAGACTCCTATGTCAGGGTCCTGTGTTAAAGGAAAGAGTGGAGGAAGAGAGACCATTCAGTAGGCTTTTGGAAATGTCCAGACTTGGGTGAAAAGTTTCTGAGGGGAGATAGATGATGGCAACAGTCATGGAAAAGAGCGGAAAGTTGGTTGTGGTGATTGATTGATGAGAAGTGAGTAGAACCACACAAAACTCCAAAGTTTCAAACTGGATCATTAGGAAAAAACTATCACATTGACAGAAATAGGTCAATTGAGAGGCATATTGACTTTTTTTTTTTTTTTTAGAAAATACATAAACTCAACATTAGATATTAAGGTAGCATTTATAGGCAGCTAGAAACTTAGAAATGAATGTTAGGGCTAGGAATATAAATTAGAAAGTAGTCCTGCAGATTCAGATATAAAAATAAGATTGAAAAGAATACAGGAAAGGCAGCAAAAAAACTAGAATGAGCTGGCTTAAAAGATAAGAGATAAATTAGATTGACAAGGTACCATGGTAACCAGTAGAATCTTTGAGAAACAAGAAGGTAAGGAGAATGAATATGGGAAAAAGGATATTGGATTTGGTGATTAGGAGATCACTGGTTACTTTTAAGATTCTACTTTTACTAGTAGAAGGGGCATAAGTCAGATCCCAGGAGAGTAAAAAGAGAATGAGCTTTTGGGTCATGGAGGTGGAATGCTCTTTAAAGAAGGTCAACAGGGAGCCACAATGAAAAAAATAGGATTACATCTGGAGGAGACAACACTGCTACTTTGAGGTTAATTATCTACATTTCTGTGTTGAATCATCTGCCACCCTTGAAGGTAGGAAGAATGTCTTATGCTTTTTTATACCCTTGTATAGTATCCTACCTAAAGAAGGCATGAATATTCAATGGATAGTTTTTTTTAATATAAGGAGAACTCTTCTTTGTACATATAAGGGAAGGGGCCAGAAGAGAGGGAACAATAAAAACAAGTTAGAAAAACTAACAATACCTGAGAGGACCTATCCCTGATATTGATGGTAGAGGAGGTGGAAGGCAGGGAGGCTGAAGGTGAGGTAAGTCTTTGACCTTGAATTCCAGAATGAAAGTCTAACCCTAGACAGGCAGGCAGCGTCATGAGTTCGGGCAAGTTATTTAACTTCCTACTTAATTTCAGTTTTCAGTAAAATGAGAATAATAACATTTCTCTTGAGTACTTGTGAGGAATAAATGAGTAAAGTGTCTAGAACAGTATCTACTATATGTGGTAAATACTCAGCAAGTATTAGTGATGATGATGGTCATGATCATGAGGAAGGCTCAGAGACTGGGAATTCATAATCAGACAGAATACATTAGTATCACTTGGGAAAATAGTCCTTAAAAGGAGACCATATTGAGTTGACTGGAAAGTACATAAAAGTTGTATTCTATAAAAATGAATTAAAATTTTCATTTTCTTTTATTTCAGAGCTAATATAAATTCTTTGTGTAAAGTTTAGACAATTCATTATTATAAAAATTAATAAAAATCATTTATAATCCCGCATTCAAAATATTAGTCAGACCCTCTGTGCTCTGTTTTCCTTGTATGAACTTTCTATTTCAATTAGGCCACTACTCACTGTCCCCAGAATGCATACTCTATGTGGATGCTGAGTGACGGTGTTTTTCTTTAGCATTTTAGATTTACTACTCACTTATACTTTTCATTTGCTGGTCATGTGATGTATTTTCTATCCTAAACTCAGAGAATAGGCTTCTTGTCATGATCTTGCAATTAAAAACCAAATTTAGAATAGACACTAGAATCCCTGTCAGAGTCTGAATCCAGGAAGTGTATGATTGTGCCATGCCTATTTCTATATTGATATTACAACAATATGAAAATGTCTTTCATGAGATGAAAGTTTAGAATTGACTTGCGATTTTGTAGAAAGTAATCAGCACAGGTAAGCTTGTGTTTTGTTAAATATTTTTGAATTTTTGAAGTGGTTTTGAAGTTTTATTTTTGCCTAAAGAGTTTCTCCCTCCCACCCCATCCCCCCCAAAAAAGTAAGGAAAGGACACCTGAAAATAACCTCAGGCTAAATTCAACACGTTTACCAAAGGATTATCCATTCTGGTTATCTTTCAATGACTACACTTATTCTAACTTGATTGTTTTTAAAGTGTATAATAAAAGCTGAAATAATTTAAGAAATAACATCGCCCTAGCCTGTGGATGGAATGAGAGCTTTCTGGGGCACCTGCAGCACCTCTAAGCCATGCAGCCTCACCCGGAATTACCTGAACTCCACAGGGCGGGTCCAGTGATCACTCTCCTCCTTTCATTCATGCAGCTCTGCTATTTTAGAGTGAATGTAGTGAAAACTATGATTGAAAAAATACTATTTATAATTGCACTTTTTTTTATGTTTCAGTTTGCAGACTGTAGGTTGCATGCCTCCCCCTGTGTCTTCTGCAGTGATTTTAACCAAAGCAGTTGGTGGAAATGAGGTGAGTCATGGGGCTAACTTTATTTAAATGGAAATGGGTGCTATACTTTTACTTTTGTATTCTATTTTATGACAAAGGAGTAATGTCACAGAAAACACATAACCATAGTAGCTTATGAAAGAGTTATATATTAGGATGATGCTGAAATTGGTGATGATGAGTGGAATTTGGGATTTCAAAAGAGAAGAGCAAGGGAGATGAATGAAATAGGGATGGTGATTTCTCTGCCTCGATGGGAAATTGGGAGACAGAGAACAAGGAATCCAAGGAAGGGGACTTTGTATCCAAGACTCACGAACCGAGGACTCCTGCTATGGCCATTCCTTAGTTCTTAAAAATTTGTAATGAATTCAATTCATGGAAAAAGAGTCAGTATAAGTTTAATGGCTAGTGATGATGATATACAAAAGAGAAATGAGGCCAACTTTCTAAGATAATTTCAAAGAATTATCCAGCTGCTACGGAACAGTGGCAGAAGAACACTTGTGTATTGGGATAGCAGTTCATTTCAGGAGCTACGTATAGGTGGTTCTTCTTACAACTTTGTACTGAGGGACTTTGCTTTGTAGCAGCTTATTCCTCCTTTTCCACCGATGGTCTATCATTCAGAAAAGAATACTATTGAATAAGGGAAGCTATAAGGGGTTGCCACTTCAATTTATTCTTAGGAGTTTGCTTTCTCAACATTTCTTTTTATTTTCATCCACTTTATTCATTAAAAAAATTTTCTTGATCACCAGCTATATTCTTTTTAAAATTTTTTCTATCTTATTTTACTCAGCATAATTATTTTGAGATTCATCTCTATTGTGTGTATATCAGTAAGTCATTCCTTTTTGTTGCTGAGTCATATTATTTTGTATGGATATACCACAATTTGTTTACCCATTTACTTGTCGCTGACCATTTGGGCAGTTTTCATGTTGGGGCTATGAACATTTGTGTACAGACCTTTATGTGGACATAAACTTTCAATTCTCTTGGGAATACCTAGCAGTAGACTGTCTGGAAAATCTAGTAGGTGTATGTTTTAGTGTATTTCAACCAAGGGAGGAATCACCAATAAATCGTTATAAATCATCTATAAATAGTTTCTGAAGTGAACCACTTCTTTTCATTTATAGGCACTCTCCTTTTAACCACAGATACATGTTTAACTTTTTAAGAAATTGCCCAAGTATTTTCAAAAGGAGTTGGACCATTTGACATTTCGAGCAGCGGTGTCTGGCAGTCTTTTTCATTTCAGCTCTTCTGATATGTGTGCGGTGGTATCTCATTGTGGCTTTAAGTTTGCATGTCCTAGTGACTAGTGATGGTGAGCACTGTTATCTTTCCACATGCCTATTTGTTATCCATGTCTTTTTTGGTAAAATGTATATTAAATATTTTGGTTTTGGGAGGGATTGTTTTATTTTCTTATTGATAGGATTTGAGAGTTTTATACATTTTGGATACAAGTCCCGTTCATCAGATACATGCTTTATAAGTATTTTCTCCCAGTGTGTTGTTTATTTTTCAATTTCTTACCAGTGTCTTGAAGAGTGAGATGGTAGTGGAGACACTAAGGTGTGGTTGGATTCCTTAATGTATTTTGGAGGCACAGGATATGTCGATGAGTTGGATGAGAGGGTGTGAGAGAAAGAGAGGCTTCAAGAATACCTTCAAGGTTTTTGACTGAGCAGTTGAAAGGATGGAGTTGCTGATATGGAGATGAGTACTATGTGAGAGCAGGTTTTGGGAGTTATCTGTCTAGGTGGTAACTAAGAATGCCCAAATCTCAATGGCTAAACATATAGGTTAATTTCTTGCTCTTGGTACATGTCCCCTGTGGGTGAGTTGGAAGGTCTCTGCAGTCCCTAAGGAAGCGTGGTTAATGGAAGCCCCAAGTCTTGAAGATACACCATTTGGATGGAACGCAGAGCATTTTCAGTTGCCACAGCAGGGAAAGAGAGAGATCAGAGTCAACAATGGGCTTTTCACTGTCCACGCTGGCAGTGACACATAGCACTTCTGCTCACATTAACTTGGCTAGAACGAGTCATGTGGCTTTACCATGTGTTGTCATTGATGTGCCCTGAAGAGGAGAACTGGATATTGGTGAACACTTGTAATGTTATCTGTGTGGGTAAAGATCAAGAATTTGTGTTTGGTTGTATTAGATGCCTATTACATGTCCAAATGGAAATTGTGTGTTAGAGATACAGAGTTGAGAGCTCAGGACTAAACTGGAGGGATAAATTAGGGTCATCAGTGAGTACATGATATTTCAAGCCAAGATTAGAGGAGATTACCTGGGGAGAGAGCATAGATAGAAAAGAAAAGAGGTTCAAGAACTGAGCTCTGGGACCCTCCATCACAGAGAGGGTAACCAGTGAGGAGTAACCAGCAAGGCAACATAGAAAACAATTAGTGAGATGGAAAGAAAGACAAGGAAGCATGTTATTCTGAAAGCCAGGTCATGAAAGTGTTTGAAGGAAAGGGGTATGATCAGCTATATCAAATTCTGCTGATGTAAGTTGTGTAAGGTGAATTCTGAGAATTTACTCTTGAATTAAGCTACATGGAGGTTACTGATAACCTCATCCAGAGTGGTTTTGGTAAAGTAAAGGGGCAAATGCTTGTTTGGAGTAGTTCAAGGAAAAAGAGGAAGAGAGGAATTAGAGGCGAGTTACAGATGTCTGTTTTCAGGTCCTTTGTGATAAAATGGAATAGAGAAATGGGGCTGTATTCAGAGGAGGATGTGGGGTCAAGACTTTTTTTTAGTGCAGAAATTAACTGCGTGTCTCTATCACGATGGGGATTGTAAAGTAGAGTGAGAGCAGCTGATTTAAGAGAGGGTGATGGAGTTATTTATTTGGGCAAGTGGGAGAGAATGGTGTTGGGTTGTAAGAGCTTCGGTAGGAACTTGGACCACTTATTAGTAATAACAGGAGGGAAGACAGAGAGTGTGGATATATGTGGAGGGGGGTAGACGGAGCGCACGTGGGAGTTTTCTTGTGATGACTTCTATTTTTTCCCAGCAGCTGAGAGTCATAACCGGGTAAGTGCTATGAAAGTTTGAGATGAGAGCAGAACTGTGCCATCGCTGTCTAGATGAGGAGAGTGAGTTAGCTGGAGAGTAGGTAGCAAGCCAGGCAGCCCTAAGGAACCAGCTGAGATTTAGTCATGCATTTAAAGTGAAGCCAGGCATCACGGTGGTGTGTTTTTTCTCAGCTACATTTAGCTTCTTGGTGTAGGAATAGAACTGGCAGATAGTTGGAAACCCAGTTTCATTATGCTAATTCTTTCAGTTGCCACATAATTAGTGAAATAGAGGAGTCATAGGAGTTTTGAACTAGTGCCTGCTATGACTTTCTATTGCCTTGAAATAATTTGAGGAAAGGGTTTCTTTTGGTGCATCTGAGACCATTGTTCATTGGTTTAAATGTGTCATTTATCTCTTCCTTTCTAATGTGATTCCCTTAAGAGCTTAAAAGCCAAAAAACCTTTTTGTTCTCAAATGACTTTTGGCAGAAGTTCAAAGTTCACTTATTTTTCTTGACAATAACATATAGCATTAAAAAAGTGTATTTACATGTTTATTCCCCAATAGATATTTAAATTATTTACATTAATGTTGTATGTCAATAATGTTGAATTTACAAACATTTTCTTTGTTTTCTAATGTCGTTGGTCTGGTTCTTTAAATGTTTATATGGAGAGTCTTTATAACTCCCAAACATTGGGGAGTAAGATTCAGTTTCTCATAAATATGGAAAATTGAGCTTCAGAAATAAAGCTTACGAAGTCCAGTTTGGTCATATTTTCTGATATGAAATGAATATACTATTTTATACTTCTTCTTATGGAAGAAAGTGATCTGCAAGTAAAAAATATTAGATAATTTTAAGTTTAATGTTTTTCTAAAATAATGTTATAAAGTAACTGAATATAAGCTTTTGCTGAAGTAAATTTAAGGGAAGATGAATCTAGTCTACAGATGGAAAGTGAATTTATTAGTGCATGTAAATGAAAGGTCCAAAAGCTGAGTCCAGTATCAGGTGCCACTAGTGAAGGTTCTGAGTCTCCTTCTCGGCGATTCTCTGTTTTGTTTGCCACTCTGCGCTTTGTCCTCTCGAGGGTTTCAACACGGTAGGAAAGTTGCCGCGCATTTCCATGTCCTTTCAAACTGACTGGTCTTTGCAGGACTTATGGCATGTAAGAAACCTTTTTATCTTCCACTTTGTGTTATTAAACTTCTTAACATGTAGTTTATGCTCATATATATTTATATCTACGTCTTTTATATATATATACGTTTAGTGTACACCCTCGTGTATAAAAGAACATCTGTGATTATGTAGCATATTTGTATTTAATGATTTGAGGGAATGTATGTTGATATAATAGTGTCGTTATATAACTTAGGGAGAAATTTTTTCTGTTACCAATAAGCCTTTTATTTTAAAGTTTTTCTTTTCATAAAACTATTGGTTACCAAAAGGTTTTGTCATGGATGAAAAGTTATTGCCTCCTTTAAACTCACAGCTTGTACTTTGGCAAGAAATAGCCTTATTACCTTTTGTTGAAGTGATAAAACAAATTGTTTTTATAACTTAGGTAATTTTGTTTCAGGGAGCCAACTAGAATTTAGAGTAATTTTTAGCAACACAAGGAACTCAATGTATGTGCATAACAATGCATAGTGTGGAATGCTGGTGTATCCTTAAGGAATGGAAATGAGGCTGTCCAGGGTAGAGCTGACTGGCAGTCTTATTTTGTGGCCTTTAAATTTTAAACTACTTTTATTTAAATATTGCAACCATGGTTAGGTTATTTTTTTCTGGTTGTTATTTATTTATTCCAGTGTTTTAAGTATAACTTTTCAAAAGTGTGCTGTTGACATCGTCTGATTGATGGTGATGTTGGGTGTATGTGCGTGTGCGTGCGTGTGCAGCTTTAGTTTCTTAAATAATAGAAAAAGTAATAAGACTTGGTGAATCCTAATTTTATTTCTTAGT